GACCAGTCTAAGTCATGCCGGGCGAGGCTAAATCTCTTGACTTGTCATAGTCTATTTCTCTCTGATTTTAGCATTCTTTGAAAAAATTTCTATGCTTACCTTGTCTTTATAAGTATCAGAGCATCCACAACTTAACTGTCAATGAATAATCCCTCTTTTTGTCAAGTTATTTTCTCTTTATTTCTGCATGTAAAGCATTGCAGTTGCTCATGTTGCACGTTGGCTGACTTGGCTCCCCTTGTGATGTCATCAATGACCGCACCCCCTAACAGGAAGCAATGGCTACCAGCAACTTTAGCAAGCTCTAACTTTCCCAAAGCAAGTCCAATGCAAGAATGCAACTAGGAATAGTCTATTTGGGTAGTGTAAATTAAAAATAAGCAATAATCTCAAATTTCATTTTCGCGTGCAAGCCTCCCTTTAAATTATAAAATTGGAAACTTGGAAAATTCTCTCGTAGTCATTTTTAGCAAAATCACAGCCAAATAATAGCAGGGGCTTTATCCAATTTTTGAGTAACTTTAAGTTCTGCAAAAGACAATTATGATTGGAATCAGCTCCAACTTGGCATACAACGTAAGAAGATCATAAAAAATGTAAAAATGGAGAATTCTGTCCTATAGTAATTTTTGGTAAAGACCAGACCTATACTATAGTAAAGGGAAGTTTTTGAGTAACTTGAAATCTTATAACAATCCATATTTTATTAGAATTAGTTCAATATTTCAAATTCCATACAGTTAGCACAAAAAAATAAATATCCATTAAAAAATTACAACTTGAAACTCTCTTTTAGCAATCCTGTATAGTATATGAAGCACTATGCCAAAATCATGTAGAAAACTCTATAATTAAAACCACTAAATCCCCAAATTATATTTTCTGCACTCTTGTTATAATTCATACTAATAAATCATGCACATTTCAGCATGTTAGTGTCCTAATAGCTGCCAGTACTGTAAGTGCTTGGTATACAGTGAGAACAACATTCAAAGGTTTTACATTTGCACTTCACTAAAACTTTTGAAAATAAGTCACGATTAATGCGACATTGTTATAATTTACACAGGCTCTACTGTAGTCGATGTCCTGTGTATTTATACTGTCCACATATTGAATTAGCTACTGTATCAGTGAAGCTATGATACCAGTCATTATCAAAATAAACTTTAAGTACACCATCAGCTGGTGATTCTGTCACTGTTGAGTCAAGATCACACAATTGACCTTTATATATAAGGATTAACTTCCCTTATTGTATCAGTATAGCCATGCATGTTATTATTATTATTATTATTATTATTATTATTATTATTATTATTGACAGACAGAAAGAAAAAACCAAAAAACCAACAAACACATTATTATTATTATTATTATTTTTATTATTATTATTATTATTATTATTATTATTATTATTATTATTATAAAAAGCTTATAATGATCATGTTATTATTATCATTATTATTTATTCAAACATATCTGAAATACAGTGTAGGGTGGGTTACAGAGAAAAAAAATAAAACAGGTTAAACCAGAATAGTAGGATAGTAAAAAATAGTAGAAGTCACAAATAAGAGCAAAAATAGACTAGGAAAAATATTAAAGAAAAAGTGGGTTGATTCCAAGCCCGTCATCAGACCCCAGCCATCTTGATCTTGATCTTGACCCTCTTATGCATAAGCTGGTAGCTCAAATCAATGCAAATGACAACTATTATTATTATTATTATTATTATTATTATTATTATTATTATTATTATTATTATTAATGAACTTCAAAATTAGATTTATATCTCCTTTTCTATGCTTTTATTGAAAGTTGTGTGTTGTTAAGTTAATAATGCTGAGAAAAATTAAAAATAACATGGGTCCCCCTCTCTCCTTCAATGTCATCAAAGCTTGAGGCCGTTCAGCATTGTTGGCCTAAAACTAGCTCTTAAATCCTGGATGGTCCCTTACCAACAACTACTTCTACAGTCCAACATTCATTTCCTATCACATTGCCGGTTAAACTTAAAATGATTATTTTATTTAAAGTCAAGGAAGGCCTCTATTTCACTCCTTTTCACCCTCTGCTAGCTAAAGTTCCCTCAAATTACCACTTAAGACCTAATAACAAAGGCAATTTATCTCCAATCACTTGTAATACTTTTACATACCAAACTTTATTTTATTCCCCTGCAATCAACCGATGGAACCATTTACCCTCCTCTCTGAAACTCACTCTTTCCCTCTCATATCTTAAATCTAAAATAGATAACCACGTTTGACCACCTCTTTATTTCTAACTTTCTTACGATTAGCTATGCTATTATTTATTCATTAAAAAATAATTTTAAAAAATAAGCCGCTATTGTTGGCAGTTTGCCATTTGTCTTGTAAAACGATATTTTTTTGCAGTTCACTATTAGATTTATCAAAATATAAAAAATAATAAGATTAAGAAATCAATGAGTTAAATGTCTAATTGCAAATTTTTCAGCAAATACATTAGATTTTGTGTTTGTAACTGTTTGCTGGGTTCAATAATTTGAATTGATTGCTTAAAAGTTAATTGTTATTATCTGCAAAACAATGACAGATGATCATAATTTAACAGCATCAAAAATCAATAAAAATAATAGGCTATGGCACTTACGGGAAGGGACGTCCCTTAAATTAGGCTCACGTGATCCCAGGCAATATAAACATACCTATATATAAACGCAATATAAACATATGACATTAATCATAGATACTATATCTAAGCAATAATAGGCCTATGCACAGGAAGGAAGTGCTACTACATCTAGTTAAAACAGCCTGTTAGAGCGAGGCTGACTCTATATCATGCATATGAGCTAGAAAAAGATGGGAGTCCCGCAATCTGCTGCTGCTATCTCTTTGCCGCTCTTTCTCTTTTGTTGCAGCCTAATCCTTCCACAAGTTTATGGTGAGTGGGGAGCCTGTTGCAGTGTTGCATGGGACCCATTTCAATCCCCCTCAATTTTGTCATGTTGTGGCCGACTGGTCGATGTAACGATGTAATATATACATCTATCACTGTACGGTGCTTAACTGCTGGCCAACTGTCAAAATATGCGGGACAAGTTCTGTAAAACCTTGAGTCAGTTTTTGTAAAAACTACATGCCAAATAAAAAATGTGTGCATAATTGTATTTGCAAATGATGCATCAATGTAGACTTGATATGTATATTGTATGTGTTCTGAGTCTGATCATTCATTTATTCTGAGCACTATGATGCATGCAGGCAGGCTATCCCGTATACTATAAAACCATGTGGCACGATATGAGGGCTATAAACTTTGTGGATTTCATGCAAAATCTTTGAAGATTTACGAATATTAATTCAATGAAAATCATTTATAGCCATACAAGATGGCAGGCAGTGTCATTCTAAAATTTGTGTAATAATCTTTGGGCAAATTTGCATCATTATATGACATGCCAGACATCTCCTTTTCCTTAAAACACCTATGTCTCTGTATGGTAATAGTCTAGTGGTTATTCATAAATATGGCGTGCCAATGGCCTCGTGTAGCTTGTATGGTCAATTTCTATTCTTTCTATTATTAACAGGCAATAAGATGTATCATAGTAGACATATGAAACAAGTATAGGAAGAAATAGTGCTAATCCAAGCTTTTTAGTGACCTTGAAGTTCTTAATTAAAATATTAAAAAACCAACAACAAAATACAGTTATAGTGTAGTAAAAATAAGTGGTAATGTTTAGCCGTTTGAGACATTAGGAGGTAGAAAACTATCATGAATGCATCTTTAGTTAGTGCAAATAAATCATCAAGGAAATAAGAAATACTAGACCATCTAACATTCTTTTACATTCCTAAAAAAAATTACCAAGATACTTTATAAATGCCAGGACTTTTGTTCTTGTGTAGATGCTCAGTTACTTTAAAGCATTATTTGTGTCAAAGGTCAGATCGCCCACACAAATTTGACACTTACATCATCCAAAATACACATCATAATAGCTGTGACTGTCATATAGATTTTGTAGTTAGATGCATCTGTTGTAGAGATAGACCTGATCTTTATCCAATAAATTGTTGCAACGGTGTTGTAAGGTTGTTGTAGGGCTTCATGGAAACCAGGCTTTTAAGATGAAATTGTAATCCAAAAGAAATTGCAGATTGAAGGATCAGTACTCTGCCAAGCAATAGCAATGTGTTATGTGTATTGTTTATTATAACCAAATGTTTTTAAGAAGCAGGAGCCCTTCCTGGCAGTGAAATATACTCATTTGATCAGCCACATTGCCTTCATTTAATCTTATCTTATCAAATCATGCATGTAGTACATGTAGAGTTTGTCAGTATCACACAATTATTTTCATTGAAGTTATGTTTTACAGCCAGTATAAAGTGAGAACATGGACTTTTTTATTTACAGGCTTAAGCAATGGAGCTATTATTCTCTCTCAAAACAACATTTCATCAACTTCTTATTACTATGGAGTAGTAAGAGTATACTATAATGGATGGGGTAACATATGTGATGACTACTATTTTGATTCAGCTGAAGCTAATGTTATTTGTCATCAGTTGGGATACACTGGAGCTTCAAGCTACTCTAGAGCTGGACTGACAAGGTATGTACATGTATATTTTACATCAACTATTAACCTAAATAATTTTTGTGTATAGTTATGGTACAGATTACTATTTTATGAAATGGGATGATGTTAACTGTGTCAGTAGCAGCTATTTATCCATTGCTCAATGTACCTACTCTACTTACATTGACTATGGTTGTGTTAACCGTAACAGTTATGATGCTACTGTATACTGCTGTAAGATGTTAGTTTTGTTAAATTGTATTATTTGGTATTATTACAGATACGACAAGGATATGGAACAGTAATCCATATGCTGGTATGGTACGTCTTCAAGATGGAGATTATTCTAATGAAGGACGTGTTGAGGTTTATTGTAATGGACAGTGGGGGACAATATGCAGTGATGGGTTTGACTCTACTGATGCCAACACTCTCTGCAAGCAACTGGGATATGATTCATCCTCGTTCTTTCATCTTTCATAGTTTGTGATTCCCATTTGTTCACTAATTGATTATTGAATAAAATTTTTAGTGATTCAAATGACATTTTACCATTTTGGACTTCTAACATGTATAGTACTGGATATGATTTGTGTTTTAAAGAGCACAATAATTGTCCCAACACCTCAGTGACTAGTTGCTCCTACTCCAACAGTATATCAATCCAGTGCAGTAAGGCAGTAATTTTTATGTACATGTATTATTATGTGAATTATTTTCTGCTA